CCCGGCCGAGAAAACTTTCGAGGAACAATTTTTCACTCAGCTGCTTGGCCCAAGGATGCTGAGAAGAGTCTTGACGGCAAGGCTGTGGCACTGATCGGGAATGGTAGTAGCGGCATTCAGATTTTGCCCGCCATCATCGATCGAGTAAGTAAAATCTATGTGCATATTCGCAGTCCGACCTGGGTGACAACGGGCCTGGCGGAGAAATTTGCGGGCCCGAATGGCAGCAATCTGGTGTTCAGTGAGGAACAAAAAAAGCGATGGGCAGAGAATGAGGGCGAATATCTTGAATATCGAAAGCAGGTGGAGGATTCGATGAGTTCGAGGTTTCGCTTATATATGGCGGGCTCCAAGATTCAAGAAGCAGCACGAAAGTTTTCCGCAGAACAAATGACCAACAAGCTGACCAGAGGAGGAAAGTCGGAGCTCATCCAGCTTCTTTTGCCAACCTTCGAAGTCGGGTGAGTTAGGCTTAGCGTCCACGTCTTACGTTCATTGAAGTCCTAATTTGCCTACAGGTGCCGACGCCCGACACCGGGAAACGGATACCTCGAAGCTCTTTGCTCTGACAAATGTGAGGTCGTTTGGGGTGACGTCTCTGCTTTCACCCCTGACGGAGTGCGCACCTCTGCCGGCGCCGAATCTCAAGTTGACGCTATCATATGTGCCACGGGGTTCGACCTCTCCTGCGTACCAAGATTTCCTATAATCGGAAGGAACCAGGTCAATCTGCAGGACAGCTGGAGAAGCAATCCGGAGTCATACTTGTCTGTGACCACAGCAGACATGCCGAACTATTTCACCATCCTCGGCCCAGCTAGCCCCCTCGGCCACGGCAGCCTGGTCCCTTCAATCGAATTCGTGACTTCTTACATCTGCAACCTTGTGCGAAAACTACAAACACAGAACTATTCATCTGTGTGCCCAAAGCCTCACATACCCAGGGCATTCCAGAAGCAATCACTTGCCTGGCTTGAGAGGACTGTCTGGGCATCAAACTGTGCTAGCACGTTCAAGAACGGAACAGTCGATGGCAAACTTGTGTCTCTGCACCCTGGTTCGAGATTACACATGTTCGAATTATTGAGCACTCCTCGATACGAGGATTTCGACTGGACCAGCCTTAGTCCAGATCCCGACCTCACTTTTGTCTGGCTCGGGAATGGTTTTACAATCGACGAAGACGAAGTTTTCTATAAAGGAGGTCAAGCTGACTTGACGTAAGTTCTCTGGTTCAGGCTTATTGCTGTGTTCTATTTTCCTCATGCTAACCATGATCGGTATTCACACAGGTATTTCTTGAATCCACCTCCTGGATCGAAGAATATACGGCCTCATGAACAACTCAACGATCCGACGTAGCGAATATAGCTTCATCATGCAATAATACTAGAATCAGTAAATAAGAGCTAGACGGAATATCTGTCCTGATTTTAATGCCACCGTTCCCGTCCTATACTGTGTCCAAGCCTTATTGTATCGTGACGCAGCTCTAGTTTCAGAAAAGCTGTTATGAGGTAGTACTACACCACGGATGACTGTGTCGCAGGCGGAAGAATCGGCTACATTATTCCGTTCCAAAGCTATTGAGATGTTGCAATTCCAGCAGACACATTTAAAGACGTTGTGGGATCTTTTGAAACAGCTGTGTGCTGGACTCATATTGATCATATCAAGCATATTAGTGGTCCTTGCTAGATGTATAATACGAAGTGTATAGAGCCTTGGCTGGGATTCAAATTTCCACCAAAAGATTGCATGGCACAAACGTGATGTGCTTCTCTCTGCCAATTCTGTCAGCGCCAAAGCTGACGACATTCATTTTCCTTATGCAAGTGCAGTCATGTGTCCTAAACATATCCGAGGTGCTAGGATCATTTTCAGGAACTGAACCCAAACCTCCAAGTATTGCCGTCGTTTCCCAGAGTGCTATGTAAGTGATGTTCAAAGATCGTTTATCAGGCGACGTCCCTTCCGCTTACTTACAGTCAGCCCAAAAGGGACACAACATCAAGATAGTGGATTTCCACAGTAATTTCAACAAGAACAGAGCGGGTATATCCCGGGGCTGCCCAACTTCAATATCAAGCGAATGGTCAATGGGGAATGCAATATCTTCCACCTCTGCCGGCCGCCACTTCGAGCAGTGAATGAAAGTCATTCGTGTCCGTGACAAGGGGAAGGGCAGAGCAGTGGTGCAGACGCCCGACTGACCTGATAGACATTGAGACCAATGACGTGGATACGAGAGTCATTGGAAATAACTTTTACATCTGACAAGGCTGACGGGGGTTCCTAGAGGTGAGAACTCCCACATGCTGGGTTGGCCGCGAGCTGACTCAACACCTCTGTTTCTCAGGGCCATCGCCTCCTGTTTTCACGCCTCCCAAAGTCAACCCGATTTATCATATTCGCTGGTCACTACCGAGGAGACCACATTGTTATATCAGTCAGTAATACAAAGATGCATGGAATTTAGACCGAATGGTGACACCAACCTGCTTCACGCAATCCCCGAGCCTGGGCGTCAGATTGGCTTCAAAGGAGCCAAAATCCACGGCCTTTGGACGTACAATGCGAGACTCTATGATGTGTTGAGGGTGGCTGGAAATAGTCAGGCAGCTAACATCAAAAGCTTTGAAGCGAAGCCTGCTTCACCTTCAAGTTCGGGGAATACCTCGATTGCTCGGATCGGGCGGCTTGGACAGTTGGATCCAGATGGCTTCGAAGAGACCAAGTTCGTGGTTCAAAACAGGGACAGGAAGGAAGTCCTCACAAATGGCTGAGCTTTATCATGCGTGTGGATGGGGTCCCCAGGTTGTAGATAATCCTTTGAGGGTTAGCAACTCTACAACGTGTAGTCGTTTGCTCGTCAAGTCCTGATGCCGCCCTCGCTAGATTCACGAGTCCTCGTACGGATGTCACCGTCCACTAAGAGTCTGAAGTTGATCTAGGGTATCTCTACCTCGTCGATCGAAAGGGATGTTTCACCATGAGGCGTGGCTGACAGAAGCTGTGGCGCAGTAATTTTTCCGCGACTATGGTGTTACCTCATCTATGTACAAAAGGATCACAACGTTTCAGCGTCCTAGCCAGCGGAATAATTTGCAGTGTACGGAAACAGTGTCCAGTAAATGATTCCGAGGAATAATGCCTGGGTGGTCAGCTCGGAGGCTCGGAGGTTCGGACCACGTGATAAGCGTGTCAAGGACCACAGGAAGGTACAAGGGGGACTTGGTAGATAGATGCATGGCTAGCCGAGGCCCAGGCATGGAGGAGACTTGCAACGTCCTCGGTATCTTGACCACGTCTCCAGGACGATGGCGGGAAACCACCATGAACGCTCAACTAAATATGATGATTTCTTCCACGTCGTGGAAGAGGAGTCAGAATCTATCCTTCAAGAATCATCCAATTTCTAGCACGCAGCTACAGTTCAACGAGATTCTCGACCAAGATGAGCTCTCGACGTAGGTAATCCATCTCGGGAACCCCACCTCTGCTGAAAATGTATAGAGAAAATAAGGACACCTCTAACGGACCTGTTTGGTGTGAAGCATCCTGTAATGCTCGCTGGCATGGGGGTTGCTGCAGGACCGAAGTTGGCCGCTGCGGTCACTAATGCAGGCGGCATCGGTGTCATTGGAGGTCACGGATACAGCCCAGATGGGCTTCGTGAACAGATCAAGGAACTCCAGTCGTACTTGGTTGACAAGGACGCGCCCTTTGGCGTCGACATTCTGCTTCCTCAGGTGGGAGGAAACGCACGCAAGACAAAGTAAGTAAAGGACGAGACTGGCTGTCAGACCGTCACCGTGCTCGAGATGTTAACACGAGTGGTAAAGTTATGACTACACGAAAGGCAAATTGATGGAACTCATTGATGTTGTCGTTGAGTCAAAAGCCCGCGTCTTCGTCTCTGCAATTGGAGTGCCCCCAAGACAGGCGGTGGAGCGTCTCCATGCCGGTGGAGTCTTGTACATGAATATGATCGGGCATCCCAAGCATGTCCAAAAGTGTTTGGATCTTGATGTGGATATTGTGTGCGCCCAAGGAGGAGAAGCTGGTGGTCATACTGGCGACATTCCCTTTTCTGTGTTGATTCCCGCCGTGGCAAAATTGCTCAAGGGGAAAAAAAGTGCTCTGACCGGCGTTGATGTTCAACTCGTGGCAGCTGGAGGTGTTTCTGGTGGTGAAAGCTTGGCTGCTGCTTTGATGCTCGGGGCTTCCGGCGTTTGGGTGGGAACGAGGTTCATCGTCGCCCACGAAGCGGGTGCATCCAAAGCTCACCAAGAGGCGGTCTTAACTGCGACTGTTGACGACACCATCAGGAGTGTTATATTCTCGGTATGTATCATTTCTGAAAACACGGGTGCCCTTGAGATAACAAAGGAGTCTAGGGACGTCCTTTGCGGATACGCAAAACTCCATATATCCTCAACTGGGAAGAGAATCGGCAGCAGGAGATCAAAAATTTGACAGGAAAAGGCATTCTCCCAGTCCAAAATGATGCAGAGCAGCACCCAGATGACGAAGATGTTCTGGACAATCTACACCCGTATCTCATGGGCATTGTGGCTGGCGCGGTGAACCACAGAAGTAGCGCAAGGGAAATTGTGGACGAGATCGTGGACGGTGCAGTAGAAAAACTCCGGTTGGGGAGTGTTATGCTTGTCAAGGAATCGAAGCTATGAAGCAGACGAATTGGGCATGGCTGACGCCCTTGCCGCTGTTACGGCCCTTGATCGAGTATGGACGGAACCCAGGACTTAGAATCGCCACTTTCTTCGTGATGGTTCTAGGTTGAAATACTAGAGAGAACCTCTATGCCCTGGTATCTATTTTCAACATCTTCCTCCTGAGAAAGTGCTCTCAGTCTAAGCGGTTTGCGGGCATTGGCAATTTCAGGGACCTTCTCAGTCCATGTGTACATGGATCTTACGTCAATCACTGCATAAAACATTCGAAGCTTGCTATGATACCAATCTCTGTAATTGCGCCTATCTACTTTTCACCTTCAGGTTCAGATCTAAATCACTTAAACATCGATATACCCACTCTGCCCTTACAGGTCCTACCTCCCTCAGAGTAGGGCTGGCCTTTTGGGTTTGCTCAGTTAGGTATTTCGGTCTTGCTGCCAAGGTCTCGTCTCGTCTCAATACTAGACTCCGGTAGAAAGGCAGGATCTTGGCCGCAGGATTTGCCGCTGTATTGATATCCCCAGCAGACTCAGAGCTTGAGCCTACTAGCTCGATCCACTCCACCAACGGAACTACCTTGTCGATTGCAAGGAAGTGTTGCACAATGGGCAAAATGTCTTGCTGCCAGGTTACAACCGCACAGTTGGAGAGATGGTAGACGCGTGAAGTCAAATGGCTGGTGCCTCCCTCTGAGGACTTTTGGTGTTCGATTTCCTCGTTGTCGAATTGCAAAAGCTCGATGACAATATTGGCCAGCACGTTCACAGGAATCCAGTCAATGTATTCCATGCGACCGAGAGTGGTAGGTAAAGCTCGCACCGTGTTCGAACTGATTATTAGACTTGGGAACCATTCTTGGACGTTCCAAACCTCCAACTTGGCTTTAATATCCCCCCCACGATCCACATTCGGCACCGGACCAGCAATTTGGCCAACACGAAGGCTCGTTGTGGGTATGCGGCCTCGCGAGGATGCCGTCGCGGCATCAAGGATGCGTTCTGCAATGTATTTAGACTCGGCGTAGCCCATGTGCGATGGCATAGAATTGTCTTGGATTATCTTCTCCGGAACTGATTGCTTGAGTCCCCCAGATGTTATCGAAGATAGACTGGATACGAAGACAATGTGTGCGCGCTTGGAAGAGCTTGAACTGAAATCTGTAAATCGACGGATGCTGGCAATGTGGGTTTTCTCAAAAGACGAGACCGACAGGTTGAAATTGACTGGCCAAGCGTTTAGGATCACATGTGTGACCGACTGAAGCAGGTACTGGTACGAGTTCTCCTCAAGACCTAGACGAGGTGCCCCCAGGTTTGTTGTCCGAAGGAATTGAACACGCCCAGGATCTGCCAATTCAGTGGACAGTTTTCGACTTATAATTGTCTGTTTCCATTTGGCGGCTGCATCGGCGGACCGATTTAAGCAAATAACCTGCGAAACGGGTGGATGATGGAGAAGGTTTTCAAGGATATGTGATCCAAGTGATCCCGTGGAACCTGTCAAAATGACAGTCCAAGTCTTCTTCCCAACAACACCGTGGGCCTCACTTGTGGTATTTTGGGAGGTTTGGCGCTCCAAGCCATTCCCAAGAGTTGCGGATTGATAACCCCAACCGTGTGTCCATCTGTCAATAATTTCTTGAATCCTATTCTCTCAATTATCGATTTCGTTGCCATTTCGATCGTTTTGTAGACCAGTTGTCTGATCCCCAATATGAGCCTGGACGATGTCGTTCAGAGCTTGCGACAAAGAGTCGATCGTGGGATTGTTATAGATGATATTTGAAGTTAGTTCGGCGATTTGGCTGAGACTCATAGCGTCCTTCATTGCTGCCCTTACGGCTCGAACAATACGGACAACGTGGAGTGAGTCCATCCCTAGCATGAACAGATCAGTATCCAGAGAAGGCTCGTCAATCCATCCCGTGACATTCCCAACAAGGCACTGCACGAAATTCTGAACTGAGCTGAGATCGCGGAGATCAGTTTCCTCGGGGAGGTCACCGCGGTCGAGGTTGGCTACCTCTCCCTCTATCCGGCGATATAGTTCATCAATCTCTTCGCTGTACAGATCGGCTGTTGGCTTCCTCCTAACGCTGAGCTTCGGAGTACGAAGGAATGGTTTCTTGGGTGACGAAAAGAGTGTCAAGGACTTCGTAAGTTGTCCGTGTTTGGGAGAAGCCTTATTTGCAGCTTTGATGGTGGGCCAAATAGCTTGCAACAAGTCTTTTTTTTCGTTCTCCTTATCGACATCTATGCCTTTGACTTCCAAAAGCAGGGCCGGTTGAAATCGTCCTTGTCCAACGATCAGTGCACCAGTGATAGCAGTGTGCGCCTTTGCGATCTGTGACTCGATGTCGACGGGATTTAACTTTTCACCGTTGGACAACACATCACATCATCAGCCCTGCCGCAAGTGCGCCACAAATACGGTTTGTGAGGGTGCTGCGTGTAAATATCTCTTGTTGGCCACTCGGTGAGATGGGGAAAGAGCTCGAAGACAGGTTGGATTCCAGGAACATTAACGCCGATCTTCTTTATGAAAAGCTCGTAGAGGCCTGCCGAGTCATCGATAGGCCTCATTTCGGCTCCACTCCACCGATGAAAATGGAAATATTGCCACTCCAGTTCTGGATCATCAAGTTCCACCAGAGGAATCAAACCTACTTCTGTAGTACCGATGAAATGGGGACAACTTTTCTGACGCGTGAGTAAAGTGTCACCGCAGTATTTGCTAAGCGGTCCGGAGCCGAACTGGACAAATTTCAGACTTGTAAGAGTGTCGAAATATTCAGGGATACCCAACATCTCTTCGACCAGAAACGGAGGGATGACAGTCCCATCGCACTTTCCATGGCGTAGAATCCCATCAACCATTGAGGCACTCAATGGAACAGCAGGAGGCTGGAACACCATCACTATGTCGTGGTAAAGTGACTTCAGCAGACCCAACAAGACTCCGCCAGCCTGCGTTACGCCGGTTAGTAGAACCGAACCTCTCAGTTGTTCTGGAAACACACGGTGAAAATTTGTCTGGGAGATGGTATTCTCGATGATAAGGGAGACTCAACATGAAAAAGAGGCATAGCAAGAAATAATCTACAATCGCCGTCAAATGGCTTGCGAGTGAGAACATCCAACTCGTCCTCTTTCGGGTAGTGCTGGATCAGATCTTCATGGAACCCGTATCCCTGGGTTAGAGGGATCAGCTTGGGCAAACCGGTTGTGCTAACTCACGGGTCAGCTACCCGTAACTCGCCGCTGCACTCGAAATAGTCTCAGCTAGCATGTTTCACAAACCTTGACGTATGAAGCATGACCAAGGGCTCCCCCCTTGCTTCTTCTATCGTCTTGTTGTACGAGAATGATGGCGTCGGCTCATCTTTCAATAGCCCAGTCTGTCCTGGAACAACGGTCAATGTGTCGTTCCAGCTCTCTGTCTGGCCGCTGTTCGCATTCAAGGTTTTGGGCGGTCTATTCTCGACCAAAGCTTCCACTTTCGTCTTTATCTCGGTTGCACAAAGCCACTTATGGCAATCTGCCTCTTTCATAACTGCATATTGTGCCTCGTCGCTATTCCTCGGTGAGAGGTATAACATCTTTTGCCTGTCAGTATCACGATATCGCCACTTTAAGTGTCACCTGGTTTGATTCAACTTACCTGAAAACCAGCCTTGATGGCTGCGAGACTAAAAACGATATACCTTGTGTCGGGAGGCCCAAGGTATGCCAGAGGCTCAAATGGTCGAAGTCTGTGCGGCCCAATGACGTTGTGCATCCACCATGCTGCCCTGTCAATGGCGTAGTTAAAGCGCCGGTACGATATGTCTTCATACCCAGCGCCGGTCGTTTGAGAACTGATAGGTATAGAACCCCATATCTTATTTGGTTCCGTTGAGGCCCGGTCGGAGACCAGATTTAGGAGAAGTCGGGGCAAGGGAAGACTGGCAACTTCTGCTTCGAGTATTGCCGTAGGAACAGCAACTTGTGCCATTGCGTTGATGTTCGCCAATTTATGTGATAATAGTGGCTATTGCGCACAATTAGGCCTAGTCACGTATCAGGCACCTACGCAACGCAGTAGGTACAAAGGAATTGGAGTAGCTGAATGCCTTGTTCTATTCACGTAGCCCTATTAACAACGACTCAACGCTTGAGAAAAAGGAAGAGTTCTCTCTCAGCCGATTTAGGTGAGAGGAGACTCTTATAGCTTCCCCTCTTTCTATCACGTGAAAAGGATAAGGCAGCGTTAACCGATAGCCTTATGCCTCAACCGTCCTTTGCCTTATCCTTTCCTTTTCTTTCTATACCGTCCACCCGATTCGAGTGGAGGGCGTAGAGTACTTAGGGACAACGGTGAGTTCGTGACAGTTGCCCCCCCTTCAAAAAGCGGCTCGCCCTCGAGTCGCTACGAGTATAAAGATAGCCTTAATCCATCGTATGAATAGGCCGTCTCAATTATTAATGACGAAGACAATGATATGGTAGTTAAATAGCCATTCACTAATAATAGTAAGTGATTAAATTCTCACCCGATTTAGGTGAGATAGCCGTTTTATATTGTTGCAGCAATACGGGTGAGATTCAATTCACTTCAGCCTTTACTTTAGTTCTTGAGCCTTTTACTATGGCCTTCTTCGTCTCTTTCTTCCTCGTTCAGATTAACCACAAGATGTATAAGTATTATCCACCCCACTCGGATGAGAGACGCTACTAACATATATACAGCCTCTTACGTACGAGAAAGTCCGGCTAAACACTCAGTCCTAGTTAGGCTATAATGCCAGCCTTATTAGTAAGAATTATGAGTTCTACAATATTAGAACAATGACAGCGTACTAACGAAAGAAGCGCTTTCCGCGATTTTACGAATCCTCCGTCTACTCCTAGCTCGGAGTCAATTTTTTCTACCTTGCCCTACGACTAGACTTAGTCTAAGTCGTATAAATTTTACTCTCGTTCCCGGCCTAGCGCTGGCTACGTTGCCGTAAGTGAGAATTCAGCTAAGATTAATGACATGCTAAATAGATTAGGTCCCCGTCAACCTATAGATAGGTTATCGTGCCCTCTAAGCTCTCATCGAGAGAGCAATTTTCGTTGCTAGTAGTAGTTCGGCTATTCTAGCCGATTAGATATAGATGTTTCTCACCCGATTCGGGTAATAAATCACTAACATCTATTTTAGGGAATGGCTTAAGTTCCAAGCACAGAGGCTTAAGCCCATATTTCGAAAAGCTAACCGTACTTACAAGGTTAGCGGCGATACCGACCTCTCCGATCTTAGGGAGGTTTAGTATTTACTAGACGTCTCAATAGACATTTTCACCTTTTATTAGTGATATTAAGAGGTGGAGAAATAATACTAATTAGAATAGTGACTCCCTCTCTCCCGGCCCCTTCTACCTCCGTTAATAACGATGAGGAGAATTTTAGCTCGGGTTTCGGTATACTTATTCTTCCCACCCGATTCGAGTAAGAAATCACTGATAGTGAAATAGACTAAAGTACTAGTTATTCCAGTGACTCCTCCTCTCCTCTCTCCTCTCCTCCGGCTTCGCCGATCTTAAAGAAGACTATTACCTCTTCCTCCTCTTCCGCTGCCGCCGTCCGCGCTCGCCAGAGAGTGCCGAACGTATAGTCAGCTACTCTTCGCGGCCCTAAAATATAGATCGAATATATAAATTAAGAACGTCTCTAGATCTATAGCCGCTAAGACAACGATATCTCTAGACGACGTCGTTCTTCTCGTTTATAGTACTAACATTAGGATCACACAGAATATAAGTAAATAGTAGGGCAACATTATCCTTAGAAGATAGATCGGGACCTCCCTAAAATATAGAATATATATAGATAGTAGGGCAATACTTATTCTTAGGGGTAGGTCGGGACCCCTAAAACGACCTATAAGAGTATCGCCTTCACGTAGCGCAGATTATAAGTAGCCCTTTATGGTAAAACTAAGTATACCCCCACTCGATTCAGGTGAGAGATATTTCTCATTAAGTACGCACGCCGTACTTTTCGTCGAACTCTCTAATCATTTTTCGCATAAGGGCACCGGTGAAGTGTTTCCTAGGTTCCTATGTATTATGTTTATGGCCCCACCCTAGCCATTTAACTAACTAACGTCGTCTTACTCTCTTTCCTTAAGCGTCTAGGATCTATTCTACATCGAACTCTTTCTCTTCATCTACATTAATAGATGAAGAAGAAAGAGTTCCTTAGCGTTAATGATAAGCCTAAAGGAGTGAAACGTAAAATATTAAATGAATTCGTTCATAACGCTTAGATAGAGTAAGTTAATAAACATTTTTATCTATTCATTATTTAACGTAGAAAGACTCTATATACTTATCAGAGAGTTTCTTACTAGCTTTACGTAACTTAATGTTTTTCGTTAAGAGCATAACTAGATCGCCCGCTATAAATTCTATATTCTTACGGTGCTAATCATAGTAGCTCTTAACCTTTTCTTACGTCCTTTATTAGGATTCTCATAAGTGAGCTTATATAGCTAAAACCTCCTCAGCATTTTATCTTATTCTCTCATAAATTAAGAGCGGTTCCTTTCCACCTAATTCGGATAAATAAGGATCTTTAAGATTTCTTTTTATACTGGGTTTATAGTTATACACTACCTAGAACGGTACAGTATTAATCGTACTATTCCGACTATTATTAATAGCCCATTCTACACTACTAAGCAGTTCAGCCTAGTTACTTTATTCATCATTTAGATAGCATCTTAAGTAGTATTTAAGCACTTAATTTAGCCGCTCTATTTATCCGTCTATCTATAGATGAAAAGCGATTAATAGCTTTCTCTTAACCGTAAGATAATAGCATATCGTCTCCTAATACTTCGACGTAAATAGGAAGTCTCTATCACTCATAATTATTTTAGGCATTCCATATCTCGAGAAGACTTCATTAATTAAGACCGTCCCTAATTTCTAGGCCGTTATATCTTACTTACATAGAATAAGACGCACCATTTTTAAGTGCCTATCTACTACCACTAGCACCGCGTCGTAGACGCTATTCCGATGCTTAGACGGTGATAGCCCTACGATGAAGTTCATAGTAATACCTTACTAGGGCTCCATCGGCGAAGCCAAAGAGACCAGCTCTCCATAAGGCTTATACCTTAGAACCTTTATTCTTTAGTATACATTATAAGTATCCACATACTCGTAAACGTCCCTCTTCACCCTAGGCCACTAGTAACAACGCTAAATAACTTCGAGCGTTCTAGCTCGTCCAAAGTGACCCCCGTCCTAAGGATCATTATAATTGACCCTCAGGATCTCAGCCTTAATCGTTGAATCATTAGAAATATAAATAAGTCCATTTCGTCGAACTATTCCCGCTTAATCTAGTGTCCAATGCTCTCCATCTACGGAGGTTATTTACATTCGTGCGTCCACGAACCGATTAAGACTCTGCGCCTCCCGAATCTAAGCTTCCAGATTTACTCTCCCACCTAATTCGGGTGAGAAAGTCGGCGCTCTTTCTCTTTTAGGGGTCGCCTAGCTTATATTTACTAGGCGACCGTCCTCGATGAGTTCATTTAATCCATCGCTCTTCTACTCTAGCTCTACTTCGTTAGTAGAAGATATTAAGCTAAAAATAGTATTCCATTCACTATCCCTTAGATACGATTTTCGTAACGACTGCGCTCTCGTTAATACCGCAATTCGAACAGCGCTAATCGATATCGGTACTTCACCGTCTCTACCCGATTCGAGTGGAGGCTCTAAGCGTAGGGCTATAAGTTCATACAGTATATTGCTCTATTTATCAGCACTTAAAATTACTCGCTCATAATTAGGCCTTCTAGATAAGCCATCAGCGAGGTTTTTCTTATCTACCCTCCATTCAATACGAAAATTGAATACTACTAGGTCTTCTACCCAGCGTATTTATCTCTTTCGAGCCAACACCTTTATATCTATAAAGTAGGTTAGCGCTTTATAGTTAGTGACCATAGTCACTATCTTAGAGGGGGCTTCTAGGTAATGCCTCCATTCCTTGAATGCGTGTATAATCGCTAGCATTTCCTAATCATCCGTAGAGTATCGAATTTCCTTAGATTTATATTTACGGGAGTAGAAGGCTATAGATTTCCAAACGAACAAAGGTTCCTTACCCATTTTAGGTGAGAGAATAGTAACCTTCTAGAATAATATATCTTCTAGTTCACTACTAGAGGCATCGATCTCCACTCTTATCTCTAGATCTAAATCGTAATAATGGAGTAGAGAGGCTCTTTCAAAGCGCTTCTTAAGCTCTTAAAAAGCCTCATCTACTTTTAGAATCCATTCTAGAGGGCCCTTCTTCACGCTATACTTCATTCCCTTTAGTAGATCTATAATTAACGCCACCACTCTTAAGAAATCACGAATAAAGCCCCTATAGAAATTAGTAAACTCTAGGAATATCTAGATATCCCTAAATATCTAGGGGGTAGGCTATTCTCGAATGGCTACCACTCTCTAAGGATCCATTAAAACTCCTTCCTCATTAACGATGAAGCCTAGGAATGCCACTTCTCTTATATAGAACTCGCATTTACTAAGTTTAATGAAAAGCCGTGATTTCCGGAGTCTTTCGAGCACTTATTTAACATAATCCTCGTGTTCCTTCTCTATTCTACTAAAGATTAAAATATCGTCCATATATACAATGCAGAAAACGTCTAGTAAGCCCTTTAGGGACTCGTCCACGTATGCCTAGAAGATAGCTAGAGCATTCGTCAGCCTAAAAGACATCACCAAGTACTCGAACTACCCATATCTAGTGCGGAATACTATTTTCCACTAGTCCTCTACCTTAATAAGGATCCTATAATAAGTATCTCGTAGATCTAGCTTTATAAAGAGTTTTGCTCCTACTAGGCGATCAAGGATCTCAGATATCAAGGGCAATAAATAACGATTCTTAATCGTAACCTTATTCAGCCCTCTATAGTCCACATAGAGGCGAAGTCCT